TCGCCTTTAAAGTTGTCCAAATGAAGCTCTTTATTACTAATTACTAATCAAAAATTAAGTTTTGATATATTTACGGTAAGAAATTTACAAAATATCTTCATGATCTTTATCTTTACTTAATGTATTGTTGGCTATTGCTACAAATATACCCCAGCGACTTAACACTGCTTTTGTGCTGCAGGCTCACATTTATAAAAGCTTTTTAAAGCACTCCAAAGATGAAATAAATAAATAATTGCATTTAATAACACATAATATATAAATAATAAAAATGAATAAAATATAAATAATTGTATCATTTTCATTATATTTAATAAGTATGCAATAATGTTTTACATAGATAAATAAAGGATTACTGTATTTTTCAAATTCTCATTACATTTATGGCAAAAAATAATGATGTTTATACGTGAAGGGAATACCAAATTTAATTTATGCTGATTTTCAAAAAAAAACATTAGTCATGAAAACCTGCAAAAATCAGCATATTAGAATGATTTCTGAAGATCATGTGACACTGAAGACTGGAGTAATGATGCTGAAAATACAGCTGCGCATCACAGAAATACATTACAGTTTAACAGAGATTCACATAGAAAACATTATTTTATATTGTAATAACATTTTGCAAGATTACTGCTTTTTGTGTATTTTTTATCAAATAAATGCAGCTGTGATGAGCAGAAGAGACTTCTTCAAAAACATCACAAGTCTTTCTGATCCCAAACTTTTGAGCAGTAGTGTAAATATATATATATATTTGGGTCAAAGACAAAAAAGGGTTTAAGCATAAAAACAATAAGTGTAATACTGCTTTAAATTGTTGTTGTTGTTCCCAAAAAAAATGTAAAAAGTTTTCTGTTCAATTTAATTAAAATTTTGTTTTTGTTTTTCCGAGCAAAAAATAAATATAATACATTTTCCCCTGATTTACAGAAGACGGCCACTAAAATGTCATTCAGTGTAACGATCTCGTCAGGCACATTTACAACAAAAATCAATTTATGGCACATTAAAAGACTAATTACTTTTATACTAATTTAATTTATACCAAATACTAATTAGTCGTAATTTTACATTTTTAAAATGTCCCTCTATTCTAGGTTTCGCCCATTTGTCAGTAAGAATTTTTACTCATTTAAAACACAATAAAATTGAATATGCTCTCTTATTCTTTTATATATTTTAATATGTACACGTCAGAATAAGCATGTGTGAATTTTTACATAACTATAAGTGTTACATTGAACAACAATGTAACATTATTTCAACCAAATTGTAACATTGTATCCTTCAAAAACTTATTTGAAACCTTAAAAGTAGACACTTTACTTAAATTCAATGTGCTTTCTATGCACTTTTGTTAATTTCTTTTGATGCGGACATCATAACATCTTTGACCCATATATATATATGTATATAGCAAATGAATGTATGCTTATATATAGATATTTAAAATGAAACAAAACTATGTTGCAATGCAAAAAATGTTAGATTTCAAAACAGGCTTCTGAGCGATGTCCTGGTGGTGATTGAGCGAGTCTAATGTAATGTCGTGTTACTCACAGCTCCACGGCCCATGTCTCCTGAGCCCACGTGTGTCATATGAACGAAGTTTGTGGGTTCTCCGATCATAGTGCGATCTATCCTCCGCCTCCGCTTCTGCAATCACACAAAGAGGGTGGAACAATGAAGCAAGACTCAGGAAGAACGGCTACATCCAGCAGCAGCACACACACACAGATCCCTCCGTTCATCGTCATCATCATCATCAGAGCCAGTGTTCGGAGTGTTTGTGACTCACGGGTTGCGGCTGCTCAGCGATGCAGCAGCTGAAACACACCCAGAACTCTGTCATGCTCCTCTCCTTCTGCAGTGACTTCCTCGTCTCTCTTCCTGTGTGTTCTGCTCTATTGTGCTCTCGCTCAGAACCACACGCGTCTGCCGGAAGCTGATTTCAGCGTCTGAACGCACACACGAGAGGCTGGATCCTCCTGAAACACCATCACACCGTTACACACACGAAGACAACTCATCTTCTCTCATGTCTTTTCATCATTTGGAAGGACAGCAAATAACACTGCTTTTGTCCATAAACATCAATTTGTCCATTCAAATAATCTTATTTATATATTTTTTTATTTTAAATATTTTATTGCATTTATTCACATTTAAATTTAATTATTTTATTATTTTTAGATTAGAAATTTATTTATAATTTTAGGTAATTTCTTTTAAATATTTTATTGCATTTATTTATATTTAAATATATGATTTTACATATATATAATGTATAATGTATATAATACACATATGTACACGTCAGCTGTGTTTAAACATTAAAAAAGAAGATGAAATTAACATTGAAACTTGGGAACGTGGACATTCAGAACCAGAAATGAAAGGAGTTTCTGGGCAGAAATGGCACCGAAAGAGACAGAAATGCTCAGAAAAATGCCCTTGTAATGAATTCCCCAGTCTTTCATTTCTAATATCTAATAAAGATTGCAAGACTCTATTCTAGAGCTAGTTTTAAGGTAAAATCCCAAATCTATTTGGATATAAATCTGACTGACTGATGATTTTGTGTTGATGAACTGCATATTTCACATTGCTACAAGGCTAAAACATTATATTTGTATCTAGTGAAAACAAATAACTTCATACAGGTTAAAGTTAATTTCTGACACTCGAGCATCATCATCAAACTACACAAACTAATCGATTAATCCTAATCAAACCTGAGCTTCACGCCACAGAGCCAGTCATGCTCGATGAAGGAATGCAAGCGCGTCAGTTTACATCTGTTTCACTCGTTACAAGCTGTTAAATATTGCATGAAGCGTTTATATTCATCTAATATTAATAAACAGACGCGCAGCAGGAAACCTCAGCCACAAACTAGCTTGCTAGCAATCTAAGCAGCTCTCGTGCAGCGCAGCCTGAAGAACAAAATCTAACCTGCAGTCGAAAAAACACGCTTTAATAACACAGAAGTTTTATAATAACTAAGTTTTGCTACAAATGTGTAAATAAAGGGCAGATGTGAAGCCTTACCTCGAGCACTTCCTGAAAGCGTCTGTCAGAAAGCCGATAGTGGCTCCGCCCTCTTCCGCCGCAGTGCATCCCGGGACTTGTAGTTCTGTGTATTGATAGCGCTCACTTGCGCGCGCCGCATTAAAGGGATAGTTCACCCAAAAATGAAAATGATGTTTATCTGCTTACCCCCAGGGCATCCAAGATGTAGGTGACTTTGTTTCTTCAGTAGAACACAAATTATGATTTTTAACTTTAACCGTTGCAGTCTGTCAGTCGTATAATGCATGGCAATGGTAACAAAATCTATGAGAGTAAAAAAAACATGCACAGACAAATCCAAATTAAACCCTGCGGCTCGTGACGACACATTGATGTCCTAAGACACGAAACGATCGGTCTGTGCTAGAAACCGAACAGTATTTATATCATTTTTTACCTCTAATACAACACTATGTCCAACTGTCTTTGTGCGCGCGCAGGCATCCGGTGCGTGAGCTGTGTACGCGCTCTGGCGTAGTTTACGCAAGCGCCGGAAGGGTTTAATTTGGATTTGTCTGTGCATGTTTTTTTTACTCTCATAGATTTTGTTACCATTGCCATGCATTATACGACTGATAGACTGCAACGGCTATATTCATATTCACCCGAGCCGTGGATATTCCTAACATAATAATGTCTTGAAGTTGCATTAGCCACTTGTACATATCCAAAGTATTTATGCCTTTCTGCATCCAGTCTCTGGAGACAAATAGTGCACCTCCCGAAAGAATGCTATGGTTATACCAAATGGGTGTATTAGTGTGCCACTTATTTGAATACTGAATATTTTTTTCCATCAACTTAAAATTGACTACAGTGTTGGTCATGATTGGACCAAAGGAATGCATACATTGTTTGCTATTCAGCCCCGAGAACAGTACATCTTGTAATCTGTGATTGCAAAGCCTCTTTAAGCTCCTCTAAGGTGACAGGCTGCCCTAAAAGTTCAGCTTCTTCATGACTAAGACGGGGAAGATTGAGAGACTGCAGAAAATCAGTATGGCTTGGACTTGAAGAGTTAAGTTCAGAAGTGTAGAGTTTGGCATAGAAATTAGAAAATGTTGAGTTAATTTCTTTTCACACTGGCCCAGCTAACCAATCACACAGCACACACTGGCCCTGCTAACCAATCACAGCACACACTGGCCCAGCTAACCAATCACAACACACACTGGCGTGCGTGCGTGTGTGTGTGTGTGTGAGTGTGTGTGTGTGAGTGTGAGTGTGTGTGCGTGTGAGCGTGTGTGCGTGCGTGTGAGTGTGTCTGTGTGTGATCTCTCAAAGGCAAACACTAGGAAAACAACATTATATATTAGTATATTATTAATAATTATATGAATAATAATAAGGGCGTTATACTGTGTATAAGTGAACACTTTACTGAGGATATCCAGCGAAATCCACGTTTATTACCTTATATATATTTTTTTTTACTTTTTAAAACTTTTTTTATTTAAGAACACAGCATACCTACAAATAAAAGGGTCTCCGTTAAAAGAAACAAATTAAATCAACAATAAATAAAGTATAAAATATTTAGAAAGAAGAAAAACGAGATTCATCAGATTAAACATATCGTTTTTAGTAATATATATATATATATAAAAAATTCCATCCTTAAATTAGAACATCATGAATCACACGATACAACAATATCACGTGACTGGCCACACTGGGCGGCGCTTACGCGGGCTGAGGATGCTGCGCTCTCATTGGCTGAGGGCGGTTTCCGCTGTGTTTAAATAGCCAATCAGCGCGTAGCAGCTTCACTTGGGTGAAAGATCGCGAGCAAGCTTCATTCCACGCCATGGAGGACTCGAGCAGCTGACGGTTCCCGCAACCTTCTCTCTTCACGCTTTCCTTCGTACGCTCATCGATCCGTTATCAGCCGCGTCAGCGACTTGTCTCAGTTTGAGGATGAAGATCATCATCGGGCTCGGAGGGTGAGTGAGCGCGTGCTTCTCTCGTTCTGTTAGAGATGAGGAACAAAATCACCATAGTAACTGCGTGTTTATTGCATTGTGAGCGTGTAACGTGCAGTTAAAGGGACAGTTCACCCAAAAATTAAAATTCTGTCATTGACCCTCCCTCAAGTTCTTCCGCACCTGTATGAGTTTATTTCTTCAGTTGAGCACAAATTATGATATTTTAAAGAATGTTTCAAACCAAACCGGTGACGGTAACCATTGACTTCCACTGTAACTTTCTCCGTACTGTGGAAGTCGGTGGCTATGTTGAGAGGATTTTCATTTTTGGAACTGTCCCTTTAAAGTGCGGTGTTGACTGGAATGTATTGGCCTCTTAAGTAATATGATGCAGCATATAACACGTATGTTTCTGCCCCACAGGGTCACGAACGGTGGTAAAACAACACTGACGGACCGACTGATCAAGAACCTGCCCAACTGCTGTGTGGTCCATCAGGATGACTTCTTCAAGGTCAGTATAATCAGAAAGCAGAGCTTGGCATTGATCACACACAGAGGTCAGAGGTTAAGAGTGTAGCGGTGGGAGGGTCAGTGTTCTGGAGTGCGTCTCATTGGTGTATGTTTCAGCCCCAAGATGAGATTGAAGTTGATGAAGATGGCTTTAAGCAGTATGATGGTAAGCGGGCTCTTATCCAGGGGTTGGTGCGTGTGTTTTTGCATGTCTGGCGATCCGCACCGTGTCCTTGCGCTCACTGGTGCGTGTTTCCCTCCGCAGTCATCAGCGCTCTGGACATGGACGCCATGATGAGCACCATCCACGCCTGGCAGCACAACCCCGTCAAGTTCGAACGATCCCACGGCGTCAACAACTCTCTGGACTCTGAGATGCTTCCGTGCGCTCCGGACGAAGGCGTTCACATCCTGATCGTGGAGGGGTTTCTGCTCTACACCTACGGGTGAGCGCCGCATGCAAACCTGTTCGACTAACCGATCAGACCCATGCTTTTACTGAACGCTGTGTCTCTTGCGCAGACCTTTGATCGATGTATTCAACCAGCGATACTTCATTTCCATTCCATACGAAGAGTGCAAAAAGAGGAGGAGGTGAGTGACGTCTGACAGAGTGGATGAAGGTCCAGCATGCACCTGATCTCACTGTATCTGTGTTTCAGTTCAAGGAACTATTCCGTGCCGGACCCACCCGGTCTGTTCGACGGACACGTCTGGCCCATGTATGTCAAACACACTAAGATCATGGAAGACTCCGGGGTTGATGTCGGTAAGTTCCCGCTAATCAGTGTTGGGGGTAAGGTGTAATGCGAGTGACGTAATCGGATTACTTTTTCAAGTAATGCATTACTAAAGCGTACCTAGCGTTGCCCCTTAGCTGTTATAAATTCACTGTAAACCATGGCTTCCCGGGGCTTATTGCTTTTATAAAACGGTTATTCCATATACGTAGTACATTTTCACAGAGCAAATAAAGTGTAATGATATTAATAAAAACAGTATTCTTCCACCAAACAATGTAGCTCCTCAGAAACAGTTGTGGTTGCTACAAAGTGGTTGCCGAGCAACAGACAAACGTAAACAAAGGTGTATGTTACTTTGTAGAGTCATTTACAACAGCTTCGAACGCGGCTCAGCCAATCAGAATCGAGCACCGGAACTCTCCGTAACTCAGTATTGTAATGCATTGCTGTTACGAGCGTCGTTGAGACTGTAATCATGTTTGTGTTGCAGTGCAACTAGATGGAGCCATGTCCAAGGAACAGCTGTACAACATTGTGTACGGAAACATTCTGAACGGCATCCAGAACAATCTGCCCTGAACAAAGGTGTGTATGCGACCATCTGATGTCCAGTGTGTTCTCAGTTCTCAGTCGTTTTCCTGATCGTATGACGTCTGTGTTGCAGATCTGTTGATCGACGAAGCTGCTTTTCATATCGACTCCTGCGTTTTACTCCAGCCCTGACAGCGTCGGCATCGCTGTTGTTTTTATATCCTCTGTATTTATTGTTAATCCAGCTGTTATAAGGCTACATCTATAATCAACATCAGAACGTTCTGAGCATGGTTGCAGCTACAAGCAAATAAAACGAAGCTCCTGCGACACGTTTGTAGTGGTTGACTGTTTCTCTGAGTGTGGTTTATTAGGAGGAAGACTGGTGATGAAAGAGTTCATTAAAGTCATTCCAAACCTCTGTTTCTTCAGTGGAGCCCAAAAGAACATCTGCTCTTCATTGCATAATAAATACAAATGCTGACCATCATGAAGGCATCAAAATAGTCCATGCAAGTCATATAGCAGCTCCTTATGATTAGATGATTAATCTACCAATTTTTCAGAACTCTATGCCAAAGTCAGTCATCCAACACTCTGCTGAATGTCTATTTCACATGCAGTGAGTCAGTAACAACACATTCGGAGGCTGTGAGTGTGTTTTGGGAGACCGTCGTCCTGTCTGTGTTTATGTGGGTTAGCCAGAGCAGACCGGTCATTATGGTTTCAGTCATATTTCTTTTCTTAAACGCATCCTCTCAGACGCTCCCCGCTAAACACCGTCCTGCGTCACTGCAGCTGCTGCGACTGATAGCTGCTGTAATCTCACGCCTCAGACGTGGGGCTGATTAGCCTCAGGAGAACATCTCGCTGCACCTGATCTTTACAGAGCTGCTTCAGTCATTCTGTCATCTTAAAGGGACAGTTCACCCAAAACTGAACATTTGCTGTTAATTTACTCTCAAACTATCCAAGATGGAGGCGGCTTTTGTTCTTCAGTAGGACAGTAAAGATGATTTTTAGCTGAAGCCGTGCTCCTCTGTGAATCATAAAACTTGCTACCGTCACTTTGAGAGTCAATAATCAATATCAGGGAACATTAAATGAATCCCCGTGTCTCCTGACGATATACTGATGAATGAACTGATGAAACGATCAGTCTGTGCAACAGACGTCATTGTGTGATTACGTAAACAAACTAGTGAACTGAATCAGTTCATTGAAACGAACAGTCCGAAAGAATCAGTTCGTCATATTTCCCCGTTTGCCTGAGGCTCTGGATTACAGTAATAATGCTGTAAATAATGTTCAGTTTCTCGCACAGACTGATCGTTTCGCTTCATAAGATCTCAGTATATCGTCAGGAGACACGGGGATTCATTTAATGTTCCCTGATATTGAGTATTGACTCTCTAAAGTGACGGTAGCAAGTTTTATGATTCACAGAGGAGCACGGCTTCAGCTAAAAATCCTCTTTACTGTCCTACTGAAGAACAAAAGCCGCCTCCATGGCCTGAGGAAGAGTAAATTAACAGCTAATGTTCATTTTTGGGTGAACTGTCCCTTTAAACCAAGTGTAATAGTTGCTCTCTATGGGTGCCGTGCAGTGATCAGTTGTTACTAGATCACTAGACTGACCACAACACAACTAGCTGCTTGATTACTATCTCATCAACTCGTCTGAAATCATGGATTCATCGAGTGATCTATCCTTCGACTGAATTCAGCATTTCAGAAACATAAAAACTCAGATATCTGCTGCGAGCGAGTGTGAGATTGTGCGAGTTGTTGTGTTTGTGACCTGCATGTTTCCTGTGGATTCAGTCTGAGCTGAAGGTCGGTTTCTGCCTCTGGACGCTCGAGTCATTATGAGTGTGTAAGCAGAATGTGCTGTTCATAAACCCCGAAACAGAGCCCAAACCCACTGACCACATTCACATTACGCTTTATTTACCGCGGTACACACAGAAATATAATGTAAGTCACACAGTGGCCTTGTGTTCACTGCAGACGTGATTCATTAGATCGAGTGTCTGAAATTCACTTTTGTTTTACTTTACTTAAAGCCTTTATGAATCATGCATTATAAAGGTATTCATTATAATGCATTATATCTTTTCATACCACATTATATTATTTGAAGTTTTGTCATGTTTTAATGCATTATTCTTTCTAAAGGTGTAATAATGAATAGTGTTATGTGCTAAGATTCATAAGATCATACAATGCATTACAAGGCACATTTAATGCATTAAAACTACTTTTATTATGCATTATATATAAAGTCTTACCTAAATTTTTTAGTACTCATTTCTTTTTGTCATGAAAATGAATGCACACAATTAACTTGGATAAAATAAAACTTTTATAATATTTATTAAACATGATGTTATAAGCTAAAGTGGAGAAATGAAGGCAAAACTTTTGCCTATAATAAATATAAAAAATGATTGCTTTAAATTATATTGTTGAATGGCTAATTTATGATTTTATCCTCAAAATAAAAAAAGAACAGACTGCTGTACTCCACTGCTGTATATATTGTTGTTTAACACGTTAAACATAGTTGTGATTTTGATGAACGTGACTGTGAGCTTTAACACGTGTGTGTCATTTGTATGTTCAGGACACTGAAGCTTCAGCGTGTGTGTGCCGTATTTCACACGCGCCCGTCAGGGGTCACAGAGTTCAGGCATGTAGGTCTGACGTGTGTGTGTGAGCGCGTCAGATAAGAGTGTGTGTGTGTGTGTGTGTGAGCTCCGTCTGTGACACACACTCAAAACAACACAAAAGTGTTACAATTCAACTCTACAGAGAGACTGGAAATAAAAGGCCTTACAGGATAGCAGGTATAGTTTAGGTCTAAGGCGAGACACTGCAGATTAACCAGTGTGTTTCATGCGCTGGTCAGTTTAGAAGTTTTAGTCTATTTTGCTTCCGTAACACGCCTTCTTTCAGTCTAGTGGAAAGAAAACATCCAAAATAGACATTTCAGGGTTTGTTTTATTGCACGTTATCTATTAGCGTCTGCAGATTTCAATCTCAATCCCTATCTTTAAAGAGTTTTTCTCTTACAGACACCAAACTTGACAGTTTTATTCCTCTCTATATTCTGAAGGCTCGTTCATATATCATTCACACTGATTTATACAACATTTTACTCCTAAAAACATGGTGAAAATGTCTGTTGACAGTATTTTCTGATCTCTGATAAAAAGAGAAATCCAAATTCCCTCTGGAAAAACCTTTAACTCTAAAATCAAACAAGAATTATGAATCTAATTTTCAGGTTTCTGTTCTAGAATATTTACACAGAACATTTCAGGAAACGTACAAACACCTGTCTTCATGTGCTGTGAAGAATCGCTGGTGAAGTAGGGTGAGTTTTGTCATACAGTATTTGTGGAGCATTAATCTGGTACGTTTGGTCTGTTCAATGGTGACCCGTTCAAATATGATGATGAAACAAGTAAACATCCGGAGGTTTTCCAGCACTGGAGTCTGTGCAGAATGAAGCGCAGCTGGAAGAGACAGTCTGACAAATAAACAGAGGTCTGGCGTAACTCGTCTCCTCCTCCAGGTCTGGCTGTGGTTCAGGGTTAACCAGCTCACTGCGGTTCACTCACACAAACACACACACACACACACACACACA